TTTAATAAGCAAACACTTGTCCATAAAGAGTTGACAGAAAAAAAAAAAAAAAAAAAAAACCTTCCCAGACACTAAATGAAAACAATATCTGAATGTGAACCTGGCACCAGAACAAACAGAATGAAGTTATGAAAGCTAGGATTTGGAAAGTGCCACACTCATTTATAATAGCAGCAACTGTCCTGGATTCCCCTCATCAAAAAATAACATGGAGGCAGGCTACCAGCCATCAATTTCTGGATCTTACAATGTGTCCCAAGGGTGTAATGGTGTAATGGAAAGAAATGGTGTAGGAGAAAGAGAGCCTGATTCCAAGGCCCATTTGTGCCACAATCCACTTATGGGACCGTGGGCATTTCACCACAGATGTGGAGGAGGTCTCAGAAATCTAGATGACCTAAGAGCTCTTTTAGATTGAGAATGTTGTTATATGTATCTATACTGTCAGGCTTAGACTGTTGGGTTTTTGTTTTAGGGTGTTTTTGGTTTTTTTTTTTTTGGAGGGTGGAGGTGGTAGAGGAGGGGAGGCAGAAGACGATTAGAAGGTTTATTTAGTTCAAGGATCTTATGCAGAAGGTGTAAAAACTAAAAAAAAAAAAATCATTCTCAAGAAGTTTTGGGAGATATAGAAGAAAGGGGTCTATCCTGGCCCCAGAAAATTGACAGTGTAATTTCTAAGATTAAGAAAAAACAAAACAAAAAACAGAGTAGAAGAAATTAATCAAATTTTCTTTACCTGAAAAAGTCTAAACTCCCACCCAATATGTATAACCCCTATAAAATATTTCCTCAAATGATTACCTATACCTGAATATCTTAATCACAGAGAGTTTAGTCCTTCACTAGCCAGCCCACTCTATGGTTAGAAAACCATCTTTAAACATCTTTAAACATCTTTCTTCTAGTGAGTGAAAATCAATTTCCTCATATATGCTGGCCCTGGCTCTGCCCTCGAGCTTCACAGAAACTGTTAACCCTTCTTCCTCAGTCACATCTTCAAATATTTAGAAAGAGCTGCTTCATTACAACATTTCTACTCATTCCCAAACCAGGTCCAACACTCACTCATCTTTCACCCCTCACTCCTTTGACGTAGTTTCCATAGCATTCATTGACCAAGTCTTCCCGAGTCTGGTTTGGCAGAGCAACCCAACATATGGCACCAAGAATACAAGACAATATTCCACATGTGGTCTGACAATTCAATCCGATGCGGAAAAAAAATACACAAACATTAATGAGTGCCTTCTAGGCTCCAGACTAATATTGCTCTTGATCTTAACTACATTTCTATTAGTGCACCCTAAAAACACATTAGCTTTGCTTATTTTAGCCCATATTCCAGACTACCGTGACAAAAGTGAGACCAGACTCTGTCATCCAGACTGTCAGTCTGCTCCCCTCCTGCCATTTCTACAGCCACCACAGTGCAGCAGGACAAGTTTCTGAGCCATGTGGACCTGGGTGGACCCTGTCACTCACCAGCTGAGTAAGCTGGAAAAACACCAGTTCACTTGCAATGTTTCATCCAAGTCTTTGATAAATAATAATTTTTAAAAGTCAAAGCCAATGACAGATTTGTGTGGGACAGATTATTCTCTGAAATGACAATAATCCATCAATCCAACTAAAGCGTGACTGTCCCTCATGCCGCAGGAACGGAAGATGAGACGGGCTGGTTAGTGAAGGAAAAGAAGAGAGACACACTAAATCTGTGCCAGGTACTTAACATGCATTACCTCATTTCCTAACAGTCTTGCAAGACAGTTCTACTGTTTGCATAAAGGGATATTGAGGAACTTAGGAATTAAGGAATATACCTGAGATCACATGGGCAATGAGTGAAGACACTGAGGTCACACAGTCCTGTCTCCCTGCTCTCCCAGCCGTTACACTGGGAGATGAGCACAGGAACAATTCGTGTGGCCAAGGTGGGCGAGTGCACAGGATGATGTAAGTATGAAGCTAGAGATAAGGCTAGAAAGGTTATATTGAGGCCAAATCGCAAAGGGTCCATATTAAAGAGTTTGAACTTCCAAGTTGGGCTATTAAGAGTCAACCCTTACTAGCTATGATTAGCGAAATATCTGAGAATGAATTTCACAGATGATGATAGGGCTCTGAAGACAAATACAGCAGCATAAGTGGAGCATGTATTGATTAGACAGGGTTGGGAGGGAAGGCTTTCTGGACAGAGTGATTTAAATCAGAGACAAAGTGATACAAATATCTCGGGGGAGAGCCCTCCAGGCTGAGAGGCCCTGAGTACAGTTAGCATACTCACGTTTGAGAAACATAAAAGGCCAAGTTTTCCAGCTAGGCTGGAAAAGGATTAACAAGCAAAAGAGGCATAGGAAATAAAGCCCAATAGATGGCAAGGGCCAGATTATATAGGATTTTGTATTTTATTCTTAGTGTAACGAGGAGCCACTAGATGAAGTTTTGAGCAGGAAGATGGCTCAATTTATTATCATTATTGTCATTCACTGAAATCATAATACATTAAATTTACAGTTCCCTAAAGTACCGATTCATAACTATCCAAAAGAGAGAGGGGGGTGGAAAAAAAGAGAGAGTGAGATTAGTTTGGCTCACTAATTCTCAGTAAGCCCATGCTGGCTTCTAATTCTTAGTTAAGTGCTCATAAACCAAACATTACTAATCTGTTCTAGAATCTTGCCAGTAACTTGGTCTGAGAATCCATTATTCCTTCTCCTCCCTGCCCCCAAATGCTTTTTGCGAACCTGTGATAGTTCCCCTTCCCCCATCTTGTGGCATGATGCATGAGGAGCTAATAGGTAGATTGTGTAGTACCAAGTGTAAATGCAAAGGGACGAGATAGAGAGATGGAGAGAGACAGAGAGACAATGAATATAATATAAAAGCAGAAGGATTTGGAGAGACAGAAAAGAAGGAGAAGTCATCCAGGTGGGCTGCATGGGACACATGAAGGGGTCAAACTGCCTGAGGGATGAAAAACATTATTGCACAGAGTTCAAAAGAAACCACACTAAGTCAATGTCAACTAAAGCCTTTAAACAAATGTACACGAAAAGGTTATGTCTGCTCTAACTGGATGACAGGATTTGGGCTGAACTCTTCTTACATTTGAAGTTAATTTCCTATACTATTGTTATATTTCTTCTATAATTTAAGATAGATTTTTTTTTAATAAAGAAGAAAATTAGGTGGGGGGAATTTATTTTCTAGACCAAGTAAAAGTCCATATAATCATAAGTCTCGAGACAATGAAATGTCCATTTTCAGAAACTGAAATCAGACCCAAAAGAAAAGACTTTTCTTTCTAAAACTTCACTAAAATTTTTTTTGTTTGTTTGTTATTTTGGAGGAAGAATGGTGAATGCAGAGCCTAGAGGAAAGACTGAATAAAATTCTGACAATAATTCTGTGACTCTGTTGAGTATTTTACAACACACAATTGGACGATGAAAGATGAAGAGTCAGACCACAAAGGAAGCTGTCGGAGAGTCCTGTAACATGGCTCAAGCCTGCTGCCGGAAAGGGAGAGCGTGGCATAGTGTCTTGACCTGACCCCCATGATGGTTTCAGAGACCCAGCATACCCCATGGAGGAGAAAACACAAATTCTTTTTGAGAAAAAGGAAAGGAAACAAATAAACGTGTGGGCATAGTACATACATATGCACAAAAACTAATATAGGCAAAAAAAGAAAAAATACATTTAGTACTTTCCCTTCAAAACACATTTTCTGTAGTTAGGCTTTAAGACATTACTCATTTTAGGGCCCAATCCCTTTAAAATTACCTGAGACTTTTTTGTATTTCAGATTTTCCCTAGTAAGTATTTGAATGAAACAGTTTCCATAACAATAATAAAAATCTTTTTATCTTCCTTTCATCTGACATTCCTGATGAACTCTGTTTCTATACAATAGTATCAGTGTTTTTATGCATCCCCATTTCACTTTTCCTAAACCCCTCAGTACTTACTCTGTCACTGCTAAGACCAAAAATCTCTTATCTAGTATCTACCTATGATACACCACCAGCAGTGTCCCACATCTTATTTACTATTGATATAAAATGCTAGCTGCCTTAAACATTAATTCCATTTTAATATCTGTCCAAGATGATACCAATGATTGCCCAGAGGCAAGAAATTTAGTTTCTTAAATGTTTTTATATTCTCTCATTGCCTCTGTTCAAAGACTAAAATAATACCCAAATACAACTGTACAAGACTGTACAGAATGCTTTGATGGTTAGAAAAATGCCAGCTTTCCTTTTTACTTTTATTTACTTTTAAGGTAATATAACTGACCCAGCTTTCTTCAATAATACTAATTCCTAAATATGATTCAAACCCAAATGATTAACTTCATACAAAGACACAACTTTATCTTGTAAGAAAGATATGGTCTTTTCTATCAAAGGAGAAGTTATAAGAAATAAAGAAGAAATTTAGAAGAGTTGAACAGAAAGGTATATAGCTGACTTGCAAATAAGATTTCCTAAAATGGTGGCTAATTACTAAACCTTTGTTCTTTTCACCTTCTGATTCTCTTTCCTCATAAGGATATTTTGGCAGGCTTTATCCTGGACATGTGCAAAAAACTAAAAGGGTGGGGGAAATAGTTACCAATCGTCCAATAAAAACTTAGGCGACATCCGGGAGAGACTGTAACTCTGTGGTCCTCAACCTATGAGAAGCCAGGGGAGGGAAACTGTATCTTTGGGCTAAAAACCCAGCAAACGTCCTACTTGATGTGCTTGCTCCCAGACCTCTGTCTGTAAGGCACCCTTCTGGAGAAGTAAAGACTACCTTGCTGAGCCATTTTCGATTGTCTGTTTCATTCCTGCAGCTGACACCATTTGAGAGCATTTCCCAACAATCTAAATGCTTTAATTAGTATTTTTTAAAAAAATAATATCCCTGATAAATCTGTCTCACAAGATAACCCAGTGTGTACAATATTTTGCTTTGATAATATATTCCACAGAACATAATAATACACTCACTGGAAGGCTTAGGAATTCATTAAAGTAGTCCACAAGGAAATCATCTGTAGCCAAAGAATCTTCCTGAAAAAATATAAAAGCACAATATTAATAAGCTTATGCCAAGATGTTTTAAAACATGCAAATATTATTCTTTAATTCTGCTATCGATAGATTATAATATAGAGCTTTCAATCTGTTTCAGTTAGTCAACAGTGAACCCTCCCTATAAATAGAACACAGTGTTACAATCTCTGGAAGGAAGAAATACAAAAACATCCTCTTAAAAGGCCTTGTTGCTATACTTGGCTGGAAAAGAGAACACATGAGAAATATAGCATGACACATAAACAAACATCAACAAGTATAAAATAGTACACATAGTAAATTTCCCATGGATTTATCAAAAATATTTATTTTACAAAAATAAAGGCAGAATCAATAAAGATAGAATCAGTGTTTGGGGTTAAGATGAAATTCAGAATGAAAAACTCCATAAATTGCCTAATGAAAGTAATAAACTAAGTGAAGAAAATAACCAACCCACTGATTCCTTAGAATGAGAATTTTAATAATCTGGGTCACGCTTCACTTTTACACGAAGCAACTTTGACAACACATGTGTTCTAATCATAAATATTGTATATACTTTTTTCCATGACTATCTCATCCACCAACACAGTTGCTTTTATAGTTGGCAAAATTGGAAAGTCACTGCCAATAACAAAGTCTCTTCCAAATAAAACACCTTATTTTATTAGCAATTGTTTCCATTGTGTCAAAAGCACATCATCACGTACCCTGTTGTATAGTATGTGTGTTTTTATTATTCATAATTACATTTCAGTTTCCCAAATCTAACATGAAAGTTGACACTATGACACGATGCTATTATTTCCACATGGCTGATCATTTTCTTCTTATACTGACCAATTTTAAAAAACTGATTGAAGTATAGTGTGAAAGTATAAGCAAGATATTATACTATATTAACACCTACTTCAGAAGTAGATTTTCAGGGTAATTTCTTTAAGTAATTGCAGTATCACGGTAGAATTATAAACAATCACTTATATGATTTATATCAAAGAACTTAGTAAAATTCTGCACTGGCTAAGACAACAACTAAGGATTTAGTTTACTAAAAGTCTCAGTTGATTTAAATAACAAACTCAGGATCTCACAAATCTACTACCCTCATAGCAGTATTTTAGTAATACATGCTCAAACAAAATTCTCACTGGCAAAGGTCTAACAAAGCAGAGCAAGGCGGATAACATTTGGTGGAGGCTAAAAGGGTAACTTATATGCAGAGTACATCATGCAAAATGCCAGGCTGGCTGAAGCACAAGCTGGAATCAAGATCGCCAGGAGAAATATCAATAACCTCAGCTATGCAGATACCACCACCCTTATGGCAGAAAGTGAGAGGAAATAGAGGCTCTTAATGAAAGTAAAAGAGGAGAGTGAAAGAATTGGCTTAAAACTCAACATTCAGAAAACTNGTTAAAAGGGTAATTATCTTTTAACTTTAACTTTTCAGAGTTACTTCAGTTTTCTGGACTTAATCTAGCAAACTAATCAACAATTCAATAAATATTTTTAGGATTTCCTGGGTAAATTTCCTAGGTAAAGGCATTGTGCTACAACAAGGGTGGCCAAGTTTTACACTACTGGGTTCATGATCAAAAATCCATAGGTGGCAAGGGTGAGTATTTTAAATTAGTTAACTGTAATGGAGCATGGTTCCTATTTTGCTAAACTAGCCATTTTGTTTTTAACTTTTAGTTGTAAAACAAAAGGTGAGATTCATAAATACACATGGACCTAAATATCACCTAGTCAGTTACATAACCAGAAATTTCTAGAGAATCCTCAAATTCATATAGTCATTTCCAGATGTTTCACACCTCTAAGGGACTCTAACTCAGTGCTTTCCAAACCACCTGTGACAAAGCACCTGTTTTGTTTTTTCCCCTCTAATCAATTTCAGACAGATTTTTTTGGTAAAATACAGTAAGAATGAATTATTAGAAAGTGAAATAAAAATATACATAATACAAGCCCAACTAACTATTTTTATTAATAGTTTTAAAATATTTTATTAATAGCTTCCCAGGTGGCACTGTGGTAAAGAATCTGCCTGCCAATGCTGGAGATGCAAAAGATGAAGGTTCACTCCCTGGGTTGAGACGATCCCCTGGAGGAGGAAATGGCAACTCACTCCAGTATTCCTGCCTAGAAAATTCCATGGACAGAGGGGCCTGGCATGCTACATTCCATGGGGTCGCAAAGAGTCGGACATGACTAAGTACATACACACATTTTATTATTAAAGTCAATATTCTCGGAACTTCCCTGGTGGTCCAGGAGTTAAGAATCCGCCTTGCAATGCAGGGGATGCAGGTTTGATTGCCGGTCAGAGAACTAAGATCTCACATGTGGCAGAGCAACTGAGCCTGCACATGGCAACGACTGAGCCCGTGCGCCATGACTTGAGAGCCCACGAGTCGTAAAAAAAGATCCTGCACGAGACATCGAAGCTCCTGTGAGCCACAGCTGAGACCCGAGGCAGTCAAATAAATGAATAAATAATGAAACCTAAAAGCAATACTCAGTCAGACTGCCATAAGGCTTCCAAGGGTTTACTCTCGATTTCTGAACTCAACTCTGAATGGACGGACGGGAGGTCTCTGGCAGCACCAGTCCGCACACCCGACTCCAGCAGCGCGGCCCGGACCCTTGGGGAGCAGCGTGCTCTCAGCCCCTCAGGTCCCCTTGCGGGCCCACAGGAAAGGGCATTTCCTGGGCATCCCGTCGCATCCTCCATCTGCACTTAACAACCATGGACATTTAATGTATTATTCAAATACATCAAAATCTGTATTTCTTTTCTGAAGCTGCATCTTAATTTCTACCAATATTAAATATAAATGTTTCTGCTGGTATCAGGGCAGTTAGCTCCACAAGGGAAATAAGTGTGGCCTTCAAGTGCCATTCGCTCAGTCCTCGCATCACACTTGAATGAAAAGGCCTGCGTCTCTCAATAAATGAATGTATTTTCCCATTGCAGTTTCTAGTTCATTGTGTTCAAGTATCTTGTCATATCAGTAACAAAGTCCTGTGAACCTATAAGGATATGATAAACCCTTTATTCTCCAAATCCTTTAGTTTAAAAAAAAATTTTTAGGGCTTTGTTTGGAGAAGCAACTCAGTTACTCTCAACAAATTTCCACAGTCCAGTCACTTGGCTGTAGTAAAAGGAACTAAGTCTCCATTATCCAGGTTTAACATCTTCCAAATAACCAATAAACTGGCGATGGTTAGTGGTACACTCAAGAAGAAAACTGAGTTACAATCAATTCCTCCATTACATCATTCCAAGAACCTGACTACAAAATTTGCAACACAGATTCTCTGCTGAATGATGCAATGGAAGGCAGAAACATTTTTTCAGAGTTGAATGCACCCTTGAAACCTATTTTTTCATGTATTACAGGTGTGCCATCTGTGAAAGTGAAGTCAGCTTTTCCATTTTTAGTCCAAATTGCTCAAAACTTCTTCCTGAAAGAGGATTACACAAAATAGTTTGTATGTGTATGCTAACAGGTAAAATTTTTTATTGATTAAAAATTCATTTTGCTGGACCCTCAAATGACATAAACTACAACTTCTTCACAACTCTAAAAGATGCAAGATATACAAAGAAGATCTTCTAATGAAGGGAAAACTAGATAAATACAGACAAAAAACATAGTCCAAAAAGAATATAGTACCTGCCATAAGAAAATTACCACATAAAGTGCTTCCTCCAAAAGGAGGGAAAGATGTTATTTGGTAGGGGGAGTCAGAAAAGACTCAAGGGGAAAATGGCATTTGAATTATATTTCAAATAACTTCAACGTTTCTATCTAGAAAGATACACATGAGAGGCAATAATGCAGAGAAAAGACAGACATGCATGAGGAAAGAAATGGTGGAAAGCAAAACATTGTAAAGGCAATCAGTTAGCTAATGGCACAAATAGAAAAATAACCCAAGTTTCCAACTTCCATTTAAGCCATCCACACACTGGCCAAAGCCATTCATCTAATTTTTAAGGCAGAATCCTAAACTGACACAGTTTAGGCTGGGAATGCTATCAGTCACCAGGAGATAGGCGTAAACCATATTTCCAGAATTATACTTATCAGGAGGGACCTATTTTGCTTCTTCTTCCTAAAATATGTATAGATTCTTCCTTTTCTTCTCTCTAAACAAGCCAATCACGAGACTAGAGCCTCCAAACCAGCATGGCCGTGACACAGCGTGGTGTGCAGACAATGGAATTCATGGTCAAGTGAAAGGAGACCTCTTCAGATCGCAGGACAACCAGGAATAGTCAGGGATGGCTGGTGCTCCCAGGATGGTGATCCCTGGCTATGAGCAACCTTGTTTGGGACTCCTCATCCAACTCGCTTCCCTGGAGACGGTGATTTACGAGCCACATCCCACGCCCAGACACTGAGTATAGCCAAAGAGTTGCTCAAGCTGGTGGATATGGATTTATTAGCCAGCTGCAGCACACACCACCGCTCTATGAAGCTGCTGGAGGAGTTTCTGTTTGAGATGTCCAAGAAGACAGTTCACGGCCAAAGGTGCTGACAGCTTGGAGGAAAGAGGGAGAGGAGATCCTGGAAGGAAAATGGCCCCAAACCTTTGCCTACCCATACAACAGATATTTCTGTCTGCTGGCAACTGAAGCATCCTTGTAGTAGTATACAAGGCAATCAGCTTAAAAATATATGCATATACTGCCATAGAATTTCATTATTATTTTGAAATAATTGAAACACTTTATTGACTTCTAAATTTGTTTATCCTAAGAATTTTTAACATCATATTTGTCATGAAAAGAGGGGGTACTATTAAAGTTTAAATTTCATTTTCAACTTCTGCAGTTTTGAATGGCTGTTTAAAAAGTCTAAAAAATTTTAAAACCTATTGGGAGATACAGTTTTTCACCAATTGAGACTATACAAGAATAGTAAAAGGTCAAACATTATTGATTAGAAATTACATATAGTTACTTCAAGCGTAAGACC